AATAAACTCTAGCAGAAATAATAAAATAGTTAAAACATTTTCTTTGTTGCAAACTATATTTTTAAATTCTACAAGCTGAAGGGCTCGGCGTTTCCCGTGGCAAAAAAAAATTAATAGCCTACAACACCCCCCGGCCACCCATGAGTGTCCAAAAAAAAATTTCGGTCCAGCCGTTTGGCCGGCAATAGGCAACATATATATATATATACGAATGTCTTGTTTTATTATGTAGATGTCAAAATGCCTTTTTTATGACCGATAACACCGTTTTCTAAAATTCCAAATGATGATAAAACAAAATAAAATGAAAGTTTAAATAAAAAAGCAAGTTTTTGCATCCTTTTTAATACTTTTAAACCAAAAAATAATTTATTTTTCTCTAAAAATAATTTATTTACTGTATGTGCATTTTTGAACCAAAAATATATTTAAAATATGTATATTGTATACATAAAATATGTATATTGTATATTGCATATTGTATATATAAAATATATTGAAAAATCTTTGCTATACCTGCCCTTTCCTATACACTCCTTCAGCTGTATTTGTCGCGCAATAGTTCGTTGAAGTAGAATAGGTAACCCTGATCCTGATCCAGTACTCGACATATTCATAACATCCTGATATATATACACAACACTATACAGGGTTATCCACAAAGAATGAGACTGTAAAGACGACCTGAAGAATAGTCGTTTTACCGGCTTTTTTATTGATTTGATAAATAAAGAAACCAGTTAACAGTTGCAGGGAACCTTGAATATGAGGCAACAGAGAGTATAAATTTCGTACATGAAGTCTCATTCTTTGTGGATAACCCTATATATATTATAAATTATATTATTTATATATATATATATATATATATATATAAACAGACATCTTCCAGAATTTGAAGAGATGTCTGTTTCCTTAAATTCAGGATTCCCTGGAACCGTAAACTTGTTTATATACCAAATCATTAATCATCAAAAGACTTCTTTCAAGGCACTTGAATTCATATAATCTTGGGATCGTCATATTTTTAGAGTTTCAGGTCGTCTTTACAGTCTCTACTTTGTGGGTAACCCTGTATCAGAGTCCAAATTAAATTTCACCCAAAAGGCTAAAATTCATAAAAATAATCACAAAATGATTGGCACTTCGCTTAAACTTTCTTGATGGATCAGATAAACGTTTTCTTAGAAAAGGCCGAGAGTTTTTAATATAATTATCATTTATATTTGTCAATGTCAAAAGCAAAATTACATTTAACAATATAAAAGTTTACAATTTACTACAAATAAATAAACTTAAAATAACATGAAATTAAAATTCATAAAATTAAGTACCATACATAAATTTTCACGAAAGAAATTCCGCCCTTTTTTACTTTAAAATTGGTCTTTTACCTGCAGAGAAGTTACCCCAGTCTCACAAGATTGTGTTTCCACCTTCAAAAATTATAATCTCAATAAAATCTACGAAAAAAAATACGAAAAAAATAAATCTCTTTAAAAAAATGAAAAAAAGTAAGATCTGAATGGAGATTGAGACCCACAATGAAATTGAATGAAAAGTGCAACTTGGGATAAAATCACAAAAATATCGCATTTTTCTTACTTCACAACTAAAATAAAATTAACATACAGTGTTGATGACATATTTACATTAGAACAGATTGTTTATGCAGACTATAAAGCTGAAAATTGTAAAACTCCTTGTACATGATGAAAAAAGGTCAATGAATACGTTTTACGAATGTACAGAACAGTGACTAGAATGCTAATCAAAACGAGAACTCTAATTATGTTTAATAAAAATAATTCTAGTTTTATAAAAATTCTCCCAGTTTATTTAAATATTAAGTGAAGATTATAAGTGGAAAATGGAATCCTTTCTGCACCTGCCTAATTACACATTTACTAAAAGAAGAATAAAAGGAATTAAGCCCCCCCCCCCCTCCCCCTTTATATTTTATCAACGCGGAGTTAGAAGACAAAAGAGTGGGAGAGGGATGAATAATATTTATAATTGTTAAAAATATTTTTTTTTAAATTATTTCTTTTGTATAATGTACATTGTCCACGTGTATTTGGTTGACACAAATCACCATTTAAAAAAAATTATTAACAGCTACATGTAAAATCGAAATATGGCTGAATAAATATCCCCTGTTACACTTCAAAAGTGTACTCACCGAAAAAACAGTTTTCAAATTGGACCTCTTACCGTTGAACTGTTTCCTGAGCATTGACCATTGAACTATGACCCTAATTCGCCTTAGCTATGAACTATCTACCTAATTGACCCCTTAGATATGAACTTTTTACCTGATTGACCCCTATCTATGAACTATCTATCTGATAGACCCCCCAAGCTATAAACTGCTACCTGATTGACTCCTAGCTATGAATTGCTTAATGATTGAACCCCTAGATATGAACTGATTTCTGATTTACCTCCTAGCTATGAACTTTATACCAGATTGTATCACTATCTATTAACTCTCTACCTGATTGACTTCTCAGTTATGAGCTACTACCTGATTGACCACCTAGCTAAAAAATGCTACCTGATTGATTCCTAGATATGAATTGATTCCTGATTGAACCCTTAGCTATGAACTGCTACCTAATTGATCCCTCAGCTATGAACTGCTGCCTGATTGACCTCCTAGTTACAAACTATCAACTAAATTGACCACGAAGCTCAGAGCTATCTACCTGATTGACCCTTTGCTATGAACTGATTCCTTAATGACCCCCTTAGCCCTGAAATGTCTACTTGATTGACCCCCTAGCTATAAATTACTATCTGATTAACCTACTAGCCCTGAACCTTCGACCTGATTGACCACTTAACTATGAACTGCCTGATTGACCCCCTAGCTATGAACTGTCTACCTGATTGACCTCCTTGCTATCAACTATCTACCCGATTGACCACTTAGCAATGAACTGCTACCTGTTTGACCTTTTAGCTACGAGCTACCTTGATTTACCTCTTAGCTATAAACGGCTTTGTTGATGCATCTCATTATGTGCTATTGGTGGTTTGTGAGCATACAAAACTGATAAATGAATAAGGAGGGGGGGGGGGGGGGGCGGATAATGATATTATTTACTACCAATTAAGTTTAAAACACAAATAAGTAAATTTTTACTAAAAATAAAAGATTATATTGTTTCCTCGGTATAATGTTTAAGACAGGGCAGAGGAACTTTTTTACATCTTCCACTCCTTCCCACTAGGTACACCAGACAACCTAAACAATATATTTTTACATCTTCCACTCCTTCCCACTAGGTACACCAGACAACCTAAACAATATATTTTTACATCTTCCACTCCTTCCCACTAGGTACACCAGACAACCTAAACAATATATTTTTACATCTTCCACTCCTTCACAATAGGTACACCAGACAACCTGAACAATAAATTTTTACATCTTCCACTCTTCCCATGCACTAGGTACACCAGACAACCTAAACAATATATTTTTACATCTTCCACTTCTTCCCACTAGGTACACCAGACAACCTAAACAATATATTATCTATTTATACATATTTAAAGCTTACTCTAGTAACAAATTTAGCTGTTAAACGTTGTTCTTTTAGTTGTCATTTTATTAGTAAATCGTTTTTTCTTTTTTTTTACGCGTTCTCAAAAACAAAAATGTCGACATTTTTTTCCGGGCATTATTTTTCATCTTTCGCCTTTCATAACCATATATAGGGGACGGGGGTGTCCATTTTTGCTTTTATCCCTTATAGCAGAATCCGCCATAATTAAACTTCATAGCAACTGAAGTAAGCAAAAAAAAAAATAACAAATAGTTTCATATTTCTTTAATATTTCTTATTTTGCAAGAAGTAATCATTTTTTTATTTGGTCTTGTTATTGGGTGTTTTAAAATTTTTTATGCCAAAAAAAGCTGATTGGTGCTTAAGTGGGTTTAGAAGATTAAAATTATTATTTTTACCTGTTGTAAGAAGAAATACTAAGGACCCCAGAACTGCAATGATTACATGGATCGATGTCAACTCTTGTACAGAGTTGATCAATGTAGGAGTAGGACCAGGGATTAGTGTCAGGTTCAGAGAGAGGTTACATAAATCATAATCATCACAACATCCTAAATTATTATCATCATGATCATCACAACATCCTAAATTGTTATCATCATGATCATCACAACGTCCTAAATTATTATCATCATGATCATCACAACATCCTAAATTATTTGTGTTTATCGAGAACCCCCGCCAAGCGTATCTCATCGTCAAAGCGGCCAATATGATGGATACAAGCCACGTTTTATACTTTATTAAATTTTACATGCATAGGCTTAAAGGGTGCAACAGCCTCTTTACTATTCACAAATTTTGCGTTTAAATGCTGCTTTTCAGTCTAAAGTCGAATTTTTTTTTCTTAACTGTAAATTTACATTTTTCGCGAAATTTTTCTTTTTTTATATTTTTTCAAATATCAAATGTTGAAATTTTTTCCGCTCAAATTTTTCTATTTATACCGTCCATAAAACATCCCCGGGATCATATTGTTACCAGAGATATAGACTTGAGTAGTTTTCTTGCTGTACTCGCAGATAAGAGGTCTGAAGATAGGAACCAGCTGTTCTTTAGTTAAACATTGAAGACGTTCTCGTATTACGCCTGTAAAACAATATAGAACATTGATAACTTTATTATCTCAAAAGTTTATCCGTAAAGTTTTTTTTTAAATATCACCCCCTCTTTTGCAATTCCCCCCCCCCTGAACACCCCCAGAAGTTAAGTACGTTTTCTAGAGTCTTTGTTCTCGAAATAGGGGAGGTTAAATAAATTTTCGAGTAAAATACATGACAAACAGGATAAAAAACCTTGCATTTTCAAATGCCAGGTTTTCATCTTATCCCAAGATCTTTGAAAATTATTTATCTCCCCCCCGTAAATGCTAAAAATATACACCCCTGTAATATAATAATATTTTCTCAAAATATTTTTCCGGGCTGTTAGTGACAATAATGTCATATGTTCCAAGCATGGACAAACATTACAAAAAATGCTTCGAGTTGGGATGGGTGTAAAACGGTATTTAATAAAATATTTACCCAAAGTTTCATTTATAATCTCATCTTACCATTAAACATTGAAGCTGACATTTATGATTATGTTTAATTACCGTTATCATATTTCAAGGATCTAAAGCACTTTCCATCCGTCTGACAGGTAGACTCAGCACACATACTTAGATTATTACAAGAGCAGATCAAACCAAATATTCCTGAAATTAATGAATTTTTCTAAAAATAGAAAGATGTTTATCCTAAATTTTATTTTGGAAGAATAATCAGGGTTCCTGTGTCCATTTGTTAAATATATTTTAGCATTCGTTAAATATAATGAGGGATTTTAAAACTATAATGAGGTATTTTATAACAATGTGTTTAGGGCGCGTCGCGTTACTTTTTCTGGTACCAATTTTAAATGGCCGTTGCCGTTCAAGATACCATTTCCTTTAAAAATCGTATTTTGCGAATTTCTCTCTTTAAAATTACGCATTTGCAAAGATATATATCTTCAACCATTCATAACCCTTTTCTTTTCTGTTTCTCTGTTATTTTAATAATAATAATAAAAAAATAAAAAAAAAAAAATTTTATTTAGACATTATTTGAGACCTACAAGACTTTTGAACAGTGTTAAGTTACAGGGTGTCCCAATAAACATGGGAATTCAGTGACTAATTCGATATAGTCTTTTGAAATAATTCTTTGATTTAGTTTGGTGATACCTACTGAGAAAGCTGCAATCTAAAAGATTTTCGTCTGCTATGGTTACAATTTGTTTCTTAGTGTTTTGACTGCATACAGTTGCACTTAGAAAAACAAGAAAATTACTGTATACAAACAGATTAAAATTAGTCCGTCTTCACTGCTCATCTTACAAAGACATTATAGACACATCTTTCACCGTTTTCATAAAATAAACTCTAGCAGAAATAATAAAATAATATTATGTCTTTTGAAGTCAGGTATTACAATGCGAATTCATAACAAAGACGATATCGAAGTAGTCACTGAATTTAATGTTTATTGGGACACCCTGTAAGAGCGCATAATAGTATTTTAAGATCCACCAGGCGCTCGCCCTTAGGCAGGTTGTGTCGCGGCACGACTGTGTTGCAGGGATGCCGCAGACTTCAAATCTATTTGTATTTTACCTGAAGGTATTAAAACAAAGACAACAAGAGTCCAGCCAGGGGTAGTTTTCCACGCCATTTTTTCTTCTTTTACCGGCGTAACAGAATTACAGATCTTAGATTATAAAGGAATATTCCAGTCAGACATTTTCAACTTTCAGAAGATTTTGATTTAAATTATTTACTTCAGATCTTTAGCGTTCTCTTCCAGAATACAAATCAGATCATTGGTTGCGGTTAAGACAAATTCTTCAATGTTTCTCGAAGTTTTTCATTAAAACTTACACAAAAATATTGTGTAAAGCTCATAGAGCTTTGGGTCATAATGCTAGTGGAGATTCTTTATCAGATCTTAATTCTTATAGTTTGTTAATAGTTATAATAACCGTACTGCCATCATTGTTTACATTTCTGAAACATGAAACATTAATATTTATCTGATCTAGGGTTTAATGAGAAAGGAAGAAAAGAATGAATATTGAAAAATGTCTTGCCTTAAAAGTTTAACATTATTATACAACATACATCTTCTATTTTTATCAACAAAAAGATTTTTTCAATCAAATTTTTCTCTCTATCTGATATTACAAGTCTAGATGATAAAGCATTTTACAAGTTTTAACGTTGAACATTATATTGTTAAGAAAAATCCATAAATCATAAAATACTAAACAACACAAGTACAAATCACATTAATAAAAACCAGAGCATAATGACTTTAGTTCCAAATCCGCAAAAGTTGTAAAATAAATATGTTATATGATTGCAAAGAGTCATCATTGAATTGAAAGATACACCCCTCCCCCTTTATAAAAGATCTTCGTAACCAAAGTTCAATAATTAAATAAGACTCTTGAGTTTTGAATGATTATTTAAGTGGGATTTTCTTACAATACAGCAGATCTTTTTATATTAATCCAATCAATCAAATATTTAAAAACATATTTTTACTTACGTAAAAAACAACATTTAAGCTGTTAAATATTTAAATGCCACAACAATTACCAATATAGTGGTAAAATCTAAAATAAATATCTAATAAATAAAATGTGAAATTTTGAACAATTACTACTGTAAAATGATTTTATTCATTTTTAATTGAAAAAGATCAATTTTACAACAATTATTTTCTGCTTCAATATAATTAAAATTTACTGCCAAGTAGAACTAATTAAAGGGACTGTACGCGTAATTTGAAGAAAAACTGTCCCATTAAAACCTTTATTCATGACAGAGATATCTTTGTTTACAAGCTGAAAATTCATAGTTTCATGGCCGCGGATTTCCTAAAAAGGGCAAACACTTCTTAAAATGTCAAAAAACAATCGTTTCTACATTAAGGTTATATAGGTAATTCACAAAACATATAAAGTTCTTTCTTCTCCAAATTACGCGAACAACCCCTTTAAAATTGTTTTTTAGATAAGTTTATCTCCTAAATAATGAGTTTGATGTTGGACCTAGGAGTAGACAGTAGTAGACAGTAGCCACCCATACCGTCCTCATTTAGACAGTTTAGGACTTGTCACCCATCTTAGCCTAGCAGAAGTTTATTTTTAATAAATCAATTTTATATTAATTTTTAATTTTTGTTCTAACGATTGGAATCGTTGAAAAAATATTTTGTTATTTTTATTTCAAAATTCAGTATTTTAAAGAAATAAAAATAAGAGGATGATTAAATTTAATTATCTCTTAAGAGCATGAAAACATGATTTCTAGTGACCATCCATTTTCAGAGGGATATGCCTCTACCCTTTTCTAAATCAATATTGTGGTAAATATCGCAGCGTTTTTTTCCCATGAAAATTTTCTTATTTCGGACAATTTGCTCCATTAGCAAGTCATTTAAGAGAGAGCCCACAATAGAAAATAATAAAATCTCAAAGATAAGAACATGGATATCTTATTCGTATCGTTATTAATCAGATAGGCCACCCTATAAATGGAGGCCCACTTGAAAATACGTCTACACAAAACATTCTCAAAGTAAAAATGTTATTTTTCAAAAATATTTCTGTTCCTTGGATGTGAGGAGAACTGCGATGATGAGACCGAAGAGACCGATGGCGGATCCGAAGATTTCAATGATCAGGATCCTAAATAGAGAGACAGAGTATTTAGCAGTGATCCTCAAAAATAAGCGGATTCACGGATCCGGATACAAAGGGTCAAAGTATCAACCATAAACTTTAAAAAAAACATTTTGCTATCAAATCTGAATGGTTCATTAATCATCATAAAAATAAGAGCGAGAGAGAAAAAAGTTTGCTCAGTTTGTTTAAAAAATGAGTAAAGCTTAAAGGGAGAGACCGGCTGGACATGGTAGTTGAGCTGAAAGTGCAGTATTGTAGAGAAAAACTTTAGGGGTTATTTGATACCTATGAGACATTTTTACGGTGTACAATTTCTAAAAAGAGTGTAAAGTCGTTTGTAATTTTTCACCAGTTGTTTCAGTCAGCAGAAGAAACGTTTTTTACTATTCTTATATAACATGGACAAAACATGGAACAAATACTATACAAACTAGTTGCATGTATACAAACAGGTCGAGGAAAATAATGAACTTATTTCATTGAAAATTAGTTATTCAAATTTATCTTAAAATCTCAAATTGATGCAAATTCTGTCAGCTAGGGTTGCTTTAAAAAACGACATTATGAAGAAATCTGCGAATAGAATTACAGAGATAGCAAAGGTAATGATGAAAATCAACTAATCACTTCTACGGTTCTACTTTGACTTTTATCAATAATTTCTGTTAAGAAATATGTCCCTGAACAGAAAATTAGTCTATACAATAATTTTTAGCTAAAAACAATCCCAAAAAACGGGGTATGTATTGTATAAAGTATATAAACTCCTGAAAAACTACCTGACGAAGAGAGTAGGATCAGCAGCATCAGAGAGAGCAGCTCCACTCCCAACCTGGCCAACACAGATACCACAAACGAGGTTGACAACCCCTAGACAATATATCATATTAGAGCAGCTCCACACACCCAACCTATACAGATACCACAAACAAGGTTGACATCCCCTAGACAATAAATAATATTAGAGCAGCTCCACACACCCAACCTATACAAAAACCACAAACAAGGTTGACATCCCATAGACAATATATAATATTAGAGCAGCTCCACACTCCCAACCTATACAGATACCACACACTAGGTTGACAAACCCTAGACAATATATAATATTAAAGCAGCTCCACTCCCAACCTAAATACTACACACTAGATTGACAACCCCTAGACAATATATAATATTAGAGCAGCTCCACTCCCAACCAATACAGATACCACACACTAGGATAACAACCCCTAGACAATATATAATATTAAAGCAGCTCCACGCTCCCAACCTAAATACTTCATAATAGATTAACAACCCCTAGACAATATATAATATTATAGCAGCTCCACACTCCCAACCTAAATACTACACAATAAATTAACAACCCCTAGACAATATATAATATTAAAGCAGCTCCACACACCCAACCTATACAGATACCACACACTAGGTTGACAACCCTTAGACAATATATAATATTAGAGCAGCTCCACTTCCAAAAGAGGAAATTAGATGGTATGGTCTAAAAAATGAGATTGATTAAAGATAGATTGAACTACACGTGCTAGGTTGACAACCCCTAGACAATATATAATATTAGAGCTGCTCCACTTCCAAAAGAGGAAATGAGATGGTCTGGTCTAAAAAATGAGATTGATTAAAGATAGATTGAAGGTGTTACAAGATTTAATGAATAGAAAAAGGATGACGTCATTTAACTTTAAAGATAAGGACTAAAAATTTAATATGTATGAAATCTAAAACTCTGATTATTTGCGCTTAGTACAAGCATAACTTACATCGGAGGAAAATAGCTTTTCAAGGGGGTGGAGGGGATTTTAAAATAAAATAATAAACACCCCTGATGAAGAGTCTATGCATTATTCTCATTAACGGACAATGCTGCATTCGGTTAAATAGCGGTCAGCGATCCTAGACACTGAAACGTTTGTTTGAAGTAAATAATTACCTGTAGTTACACCAGCTCCAAACATAGCATAACCAGCAAACCAGTTCCTAGCCTTGACAGCCTCAGTGCTGTCAACTAAAATTTTTTACGTATTAATAATGACAACTGGTAAAATCATTTTCTGTTTATATAATTTAAAGGTTGACCCCTACCTATCTCTATTTTCCCCCCGAAAATTCATTTGAACTCCCCAATTTTGCAATAAAAAATTGAAAGGGAAAGCGATGATGAGACCGTAGATAGCCACGGCCTCACAGAAGATGACAGAGATCAGATTCTTTGTCTTGATCCTGATTTATAATAATTATGATTGTGAAGAGTGTAATCAGTGAAGATAAAGGGAAAAGGTTAAACGCAGTGTATTTTTTTATAACTTCAATTCTGTCACAAAAATATAAGTAATTATAAAATTGGAAATTATATAGAAAGTTATTATTACTGTTACTGAAGGAACCCTCATTGCCTTACTCATTTCTAATCCTTTTAACCTGGTTGTGGAAACTTTTCTAACATTTGCTATTTCAGGACTGTTTTTTTTTTCTTTGAAGATATGGAAAAAAATTAATCGGACATGAAAAGGAGTCCTTTTTATACTTTTTACCCAATTCAGCGAATAAAAGCCTCGAAAAACTCACTTCTTGGAGGGAAAAATTATTTTTAGGAAAATAAACACCCCTGGGCTGTTTGGTCTAAACGAATTCATTAATCGTATCAAATGTCTACGACATGAGATTGAGGTTGGATAGATAAGATACATGGGCACTGGGCAGTGATTGGTTTGTTTTCAAAAACTTGTTCAAGGTTTTGAGACATTTAAAAGCCATTTACCATAAAATCTGAGAAGGTTCCGAATTTAAAACTGAGTTTTGTAAAAAATTTCTCTTTTAAATCCATGCCAAAAATGTTATCCTTAAAGAAATAGAAAACGGCCATTTTTGTTTTTTTCTTTTCTCAATGTAAACATTTGGCAACGTATAAGAAATGCATAATAAATGTTTAAAATTTTATTTTTTGAAAATTCGAACTTGAATTGAAGAAAGTCCATCAATTTACCTGGGAGCCTTGACCCCTCCTCCGACGATGGAGGTCCCGGTGGTGTAGATCCCGAGAGCAGCTCCGACAACGGAGAGAGATACCGCCAACCCTACTCCGACGGAGGCCCACATGTAGGGAGAGGTCTCCGCTAGAAACCATCTACAAAAAAATTTTTGTTTCTGAATTAAAAAATATCTAATCTTAAAAAATTGTACTTTTTTCTTCAAAATAGCTGTTATCATTTTTAACAAAGTTAAGTAAAAATGCAACAACTAATGTAAGTGACACTACATTTAAAGAGTGATGTCCGATTCACAATGGTACCCGCTAAACCTCAGTTTGATAAAAATAGTCTGCTTATTTCTCTCACTGGAAATTAATAATTTCTTTATTTAAGTAACCTGAGAATTTGTGCTGCAGACAGAATTCAGATATTTAAAATTAAATCAGAACGTTAAAAACGATAATATATCGTCCATAACTAGATATAGATTTCAAGGGTACCGTTGTCAATCAGGCATGAAACTTTTAAAATTACGTAATTAATGAAGTTATTTACCCAATGTCGAGCCTTTCTCCACGTCCAGTTAGAACATAGTAGAGGATAATCACTGTTATTATGAAGCTGATCAGGCTGGCAAAGTATCCGTAAATATACCCGGCTACAAATAAAAATATTTATTAGATAAGTTATTATATTCTAATTCAACCCCCCCCCCCCACTCGCACAAAAAGAAAAATTCTAGGAAATTAATTAGGGACCGAATTAAATGATTTTGAGTCACATCGCTGAACTATCTACATCCGGTTCAAATTTAAAACAACGATACAAAATCAAAGAAAAAGAAAGGATTTGAATCGGTGATTAAAACTTGAACCAGCCTGGCGGTTGACAGACTGAATTGAATTATCAGGCGTTGATAAAAAAGCGTCTTTCTTTAAAACCTCTCCCCGAGGTTTGAAATACGAAGGGGGGCGGGAGTCATTTTTAGTCGAAATAATTACCATAGCTGCCCTGGGAGTAGGGGGCACTACCCGTATATCCAGTAGTAGACATCATTTTCACTAAAACTGAAATTATGAGATGTGTGAAAGATAACAATTGATATTAAGCATATTTGACAATAAAATAGAACTTTTATTGTCATCATTTCTCTCAAAAATGAAAATTTACTTCCTATTTTCTACTACATAAATCCACAGTTCTTTTGCATAGCGGAAACGAAATGGAAAATAATCATTTTTCAGAAAGAAAAAGTAAATGAGTCTGATATTGTTACTAAGAACATTATATACAGAAAAAGGTTTTAACACTTGAAGAAAAGTTAAAGTCATTTTATAATTATAAAATTGATTAAACATTCAAGGTTCAATGTGCAGAAGTAGGAGGAATTAAAACTAAATTCTGTCTTGTTGCAAATTGTCGAGTTTACGAACATGATTATTTTGAATGGTTCCTTTGTACATTTTTGATTTTCACATTCAAAGAGGACACCAAAATTCATTTTCATTACATGCAATCAAAACTAGTCCTTTTCGCATAACCGTTAAAAAGCTGTAATGATTCGTCAGAAATATGGGCGGAATTGATCACTGGAGGAGAGAGAAAACACAAGACCTGCGCAATGCCGCTGAATATTGTCAATTATTGATATTTTGTCGTCTTTGAGAAAAAATCACATGACTCCGATGCTATGTCGATTGAACTAATTTATTGAAAGTCACGCTGATAAATTCAGATAATATATTAGTGCAACTTAACAAAATTCAAGGTAATTTCCTACAGAATGACTTTTGGACCCCCCCCACCTATCAATTTTGTACATGGATCTTAAATGTAAGACATGTGGCCGCGCGCTCGGCCCCCTAGCCGCAGCGCTCGGCCCTAAAAGTGTCTTAACCTAACCTAACCCTAAATAAATACTAATTTAATTGAAATTTTTTGAGTCATGTTTAAAATTGATAGGAGGGGGAGGGGCCGGGGTCCAAAAATCGTTCTCTAGGACAGACCTGCAATTCAAGTTTCAAAACATCAAATTGAACTAATACGTTATTATATTTGGGCACAGAGTTAACTTTTCATTACAGTCAAATACAAGGTGTCCCTCGAAACATGACTGCAGTTGGTAAATAGTTTAGAATGTCTTCTTCTATAATTTGTTAAGTTGTTTAGTAACAAAGAAACTATTAAAAATATTATATGTAATATTGCAGTGAAATTAATTTCAAAGCAAAATATATTTGGGCAAAAGATTTATTAACGAAATGAACTACAAACAGCCTTTAAAATCTAATACAGTGTATGGAAGACGACATTCAAAACTATTTACCAATTGTCATGTTTCGCGCGATACACCCTGTATATATTAAAAAACAATTTTTTAGATATTATTATAGGGACACCCCATAAGAGTAAGTAAAAAAGGTTGAGCCAAAACCCGAGTACTTTCAACCAGGGGCCATAACGAGCCCAGGGGGTAACATATGTACCCCCTAGGCATCCCCCCCCTAAAGGTCTAACATGACAATTCCATTAACATAAATTCTTTTAGTTATAATTGACATTGACAATCGTCCAATAAACCATTTATGATTATATCTCAAGTCTCCTCTTAATTGACTTTTAATTTTTATCAATATATTTCGAGGTGGATCCGCATTTAAACGTTTTAACAATCACATAGTTTAAATTTAATCAAAAAATATTTGGACAGAAAAAAATTCAAATGACCTAAAAAAAATAAATTAAATAGTTCAAATGAAGCATTTAATAGTTCAAATGAGCAAAACAATAGTTAATGAGTAAAAAAAATTTCAACAATTTTCAACAAAACTAGTATATATTTACAGTTAGGAGAGGTTAACACTCTTTGGGCCGAGCACAGCGTCTAGGAGTAGGACAGGGCCGCTCATTTGAACATTTTTTTCTCGTATGATTTATCTTTTGCTCATTTGAACTTTTTTTTGCTCGTTTGAATTATTTTTTCTCGTGAAATTTTTTTTACTCATTTGAAATATTTTTTTTTGCTCGTTTGAATTATTTTTTCTCGTGAAATTTTTTTTGCTCGACATTTGAACTATTTTATTTTTGCTCATTTCATTCAACTATTTTTTTGGTTCATTTCAACTATTTTTTGGTGCATTTGAACTATTTTTGGCTCATTTTGGACCATTTTTATTAATAGTTCAAATGAGCAAAAAAAATTGTTCCAATGCTCACAGAATGCTGTCGTTTGAACTAAATAACACATATTTCCAGGAGAGGGCTTGGCCCCCCTGACTACGCCTCTGGGCTTAGTCATACATATACAGCTAAATGAACTGGAATAAAAATAATCGTGAAAGTTTTTGTTTTGAAAAATAACAGGCACTAACCGTAAAACATAAAACTTTTTTTTAAAGAACAATAATATGTTAGTTAGGTCAGGACCAGATTTGATGGATACATCTTGAACAAAATTATAATTTTCATTGGTAACTAAAAGAATTTTTACCAGTTGGTGACAATTTAAAGTTGTCTATAGGTCCTTTAACATATTTAATTAGCATAATTATCATTATTTGTTTTCATCTTGCAAAGTCATAATAATATTGAAAAAAAAGATTTTAGTATGATTAACAATCTTTATAACTGTATCTGATGAGGTCCTCTGTGTAATGCGAAAAAAAAATACTTCTTTCATGGAACTTTCTGACTTCTGTTTCATTTTCTTGGCAAACTTTTCTCAATGTCTGTATTTGATGTCTGCGCTTTCCTTGTCGTGTATGCTTTCTTTTCTAACTCATCTAGATACCAGACTGTAACTGCAAACCTAGATAGATAGATAGATACCAGACTGTAACTGCAAACCTAGATAGTTAGATATAGTTACCAGAATGTAACTGCAAAACTAGATAGTTAGATATAGTTACCAGACAGTAACTGCAAACCTAGATAGATAGATACCAGACTGTAACTGCGAACCTAAATAGATGGATAGATATATACCAGTCTGTAACTGCAAATCCAGACTTATAGATATATAGATACCAGACTGTAACTGCAAACCTAGATAAATAGATTTATATATACCACACTGTATCTGCGACCCTAGATATATAGATAGATAGATAACAGACTGTAACTGCAAACCTAGATATAAAGATAGATAGTTACCAGACTGTAACTGCAAACCTTGATATATAAATAGATAGATAGATACCAGACTTTAACTGCAATTCTAGATAGATACCAGACTGTAAGTGCAAACCTAGATAGATATCAGACTGTAACAACAAACCAAGATTATTAGATAGATAGATACCAAACTGTAACTACAAACCAAAATAGATAAGATAGTTACCAGACTGTAACTGCAAACCTAGATAGTTAGATACAGTTATGAGATGGTGTAACTAATCTAGGTTTATGAGATGGTGTAACTTATCTAGGTTTATGAGATAATGTAACTAACCAAGGTTTATGAGATAGTGTAAACTAGGTTTATGAGATAGTGTATCTAACCTAGGTTTATGAGATGGTGTAAACTAGGTTTATGAGATAGTGTAACTAACCTAGGTTTATGAGATAGTGTAACTAACCTAAGTTTATGAGATAGTGTAAACTAGATTTATGAGATGGTGTAACTAACCTAGGTTTATGACATAGTGTAACTAACCTAGGTTTATGAGATGGTGCAAATAACCTAGGTTTATGAGATAGTGTAACTAACCTAGGTTTATGAGATGGTGTAACTAACCTAGGTTTATGAGATAGTGTAACTAACTTAAGTTTATGAGATATTGTAACTAACCTAGATTTCTGAGATGGTATAACTAACCTAGGTTTATGAGATGGTGAAACTAACCTAGGTTTATGAGATGGTGTGACTAACCTAGGTTTATGAGATGGTGCAACTTACCAAGATTTATGAGATGGTGTAACTAACCTAGGTTTATGAGATGGTGTGACTAACCTAGGTTTATGAGATGGTGTAACCTCATGGGGATTTCTTGAATCAGACCAGAAGAACACAACTCGATCAAATAAAGGTTCAACCTGTGAAAATCAATCATTCATATCAAAGGGGCTGTTGGCGTTATTTCAAACTAAACAATGACATGTCCGGTGCACAATGGTACCCTTAAAAACTGATCTAGGAAATGAAATGTTGACTTATCCCGGTTTTTAACTGAATTTTTCAATAAAAGTTGTGTCTATGAAAGTAACTTTATTGCAATGAATCTATGCGCCCTGAGAACCCCTTAATTATTTCTAGAAGGAGAAGAAGGGAATAGTGTCCATGAACAGACGAATTATAAAAATGAATAATTTCCTTGGCAACGAATCCAGATTTAACTTGGGGGTAGATATTCAGTACACCACCATCCTGAAATCAATCAATAAAGCAACATATCAATATATCAGTTAGAACTGAACAATCACATTTCAATCAATCGTATAATTATTTATTCAATCAATTTGGGCCCATTTCTAACATTGAGCTTTAGAAATAGGCACAAATTTAAAGACTGGGGTTTAAGGATCCCAGCAGAGTCAAAGTCGATAATAAAAAGTATAACCAACATTTTATTAAGCACGACGAAGACAACAATTCCCAAATCCCAAATCCCACTTTGAATTGTATTTATTTTCCCGAGATTTAAGCCGGCGCTCAATTAAAACTGGTTTTTGGCGGATTTGAGACGGGGCTTAAATTCATTAAATTTGGACTCAGAACTAAAAGAAAATTTTGTTTAGGGTTTTATTCGCTGAATTGTGGAAAATAAATAATTTTGAAAATAAATTTGTGCAATTTTTCATTTTTTCTCCTTAATCATCAACATCATTCTAACCCTGTCCATTTAAAATTGTTAAATGTTAAAATACTTGAAATACATTTCCTCCAAGGAGAAACTGGTTTTCAAAGGATAAACAAGAGGTATACTATCCAGATAGCATCTAACCTTTGATTCCCAATCCTTGTTTAAATAATAAATAGCAGTCACAACACGGCCATCTTTGTTTGGGTTGTCCACGTGCTTAACTGCAATCAATAAATTTATCAAGTAACATAATGTATGACATGCAAGTTTTAAGATAAAAAAGAAAGTGATGTTTTTTTTCAAATTTTAGAGGCGACCTAATTAGAACAAGATAACAAAAAAACAGATAAATTTTAGAAAAGACTGGTTAAAATGGAACGCCATCTGTTTAAAGGGTTCACCGACATAGGGTCAAACGACCCAGGGTTAAACGACATAGGGTCAAACGTCCCAGGGTTAAACGACATAGGGTCAAACGACAAACCTGTCAAAAACGCAAAAAAGGATAAAACGACAAAGGGTCAAAATGGAAAAAAATATTTTATAAATTATTTTAGGGTTAGGTTAGGTTAAGAAAACTATTAGTAGAGTTGCATGTCCGATTCACAACAGTGCCCTTTAAAACCTTTGTCTGATCAAGGTTATCATCATTTATCTACAGCACTCACTTTTTATTGTTGAACACTCTTATTTATGTTAATAATTACTATCTATTGTAAATAGGACAATGCCCTCTTTGCATGAAAAGTCCCTTGAAAATAATCTTACAGTCGCTTTAAAGAATTGAACTGAGGTTTAGAATGATCTCAACCCTTTCTAAGTTTGTAAGATTGGTTATATTGTGCTTTTAATCACAAAAAAAACTTGGATATTATATAATCATTAACTATGTTAAAATATAAGTTTACTAGGCTTTTAGGGCGCTTCGCACCCATCTTCTATTTAAATTGTGAACATGTTCTTTTTGTTTACATTTTAAAACGAAGAAGAAAATTTTTTTGCGGATTTAAAAAAAAAATTCGCGGATTTTTAAGAATTTAAATTTTTTTACAAAATTAAAAACCTTTATAACATTTTTTTTTTAATTTTTATCATTCATAAACCTTCCCTGTGGTCACGTGATGTCCCACAAAAAATTTGGGCCTGATCGGTTCAGCCGTTTTGACGCTTATTGGATACAAACAAACAGAAACCCAAACAGACAGACAAGCCAAATTTATATATAGATGAAAATAGGCGTAAACCCTAAGAACATTCCCTTGTTTATCCCGAGTTCCCCAATAAAACTTTTAGACAAATTGGTCAGGGGGTTAATGAGTCATGATAGACATACAATCAAACAAACAGAGATAACCACTTTAGATTTATAAATATAAATTAATTATTTTTTAAATCAATTAGCTTAATACCATAATGAGATCCTCCGCCTGGATAGCAAGCCACCATTATACGGGTCCGCCCATTTATTCTGGACAAACAAAAATTATTAAACTTTTTTTCAACCTTCATCTTTATTAAAAATAAGTTTTTTTTAAACAACATCATAAAACTGTTAAAAAGTTCCTTTATGTAAATATCAATTTCAATTCATTGTTCCATTTAGTTACTGTAAATTGGTTGAAATTCATATGAAATGTTAAACAAAATATTAACTCAAAAAAAAATTTTAATTGTCAAATGTAAGAGAAAAATATTTTTTGAACAATTTTGTCTTAATAGCAATAGTTGGAAATATCTGAATATCTTATCGTCTTCTAATCCACTCTCTCTCTTTCTACTTATTTACATTTTTTACCGTGATTTAACCAAAGCATTTTGAAAAAATCCTCACAAATTAGAATATTAACAGTTTGGATGCAATAAATATCCGGTAACACAATCATCTGTAAACCTGCAGTACTTTGTACATTGTTAATTATCAACATTTGTAAACTTCTACACAAAACCCATTATACATTTGAACTACGCTTCAAATGAATACGTAGCTTGATTAGCTTATTCATGTGATATATAATGACATACATCTTAATTGCGTCTATTTTAACTGTGCTGTAATACGTAGCTTGATTAGCTTAATCATGTGATATATAATGACATACATCTTAGTTGCGTCTATTTTAACTGTGCTGTAATACGTAGCTTGATTAGCTTAATCATGTGATATATAATGACATACATCTTAATTGCGTCTATTTTAACTGTGCTGTAATACGTAGCTTGATTAGCTTAATCATGTGATATATAATGACAAACATCTTAATTGCGTCTATTTTAACTGTACTGTAATACGTAACATGTTGCCTTAATCATGTGATATAGATAACGACATAGGAATTGTAATTAAGTCGATAAACTTGAACTTATTAGATATAAACCTCAAATACACTAGTTGAAATAGAGACTCCATACTAGACTGTTTACTGCAAGAGAGTAATCGTTCCCTGGTTGATAAACAGGTTGAAGGTCGTTTTCTAGTTGAGAAATTGACAGTTTACAAGATTGTGTCCTAGTTGAGGCATTGATAGCTCAAGATTGTGTCATAGTTGAGGCATTGTCAAATTAAATCACAATGGTTAGAAATGTTTAACCATTATACTGAGTAACCAATGAATAAGCTAAATGTTTTGATAGCTGTTTTACATTGGTCCAAAGATTTTTTTTATCTCAGATGTATACAGGGGGCTATAAAAGCTAACCCCCCCCCCCCTCCCAACCCACCGCCCCCCATCCACCTGTACAAATTCCTGTCTACCCCTTGGAACTTAGAGGTTATGCTGGGCCCTGAGCATAATTCTGTAGATCAACAAAAGTTTCTTTATTAGTAAAAAATGTTGTTTTAATTTTCTGTGTCACCTCATCTGAATCTATGGTTAAATTCAAAAATACTTTTTCAGTCAGTTTTAATGATGCTCCTTGTTACACTAGAAAAACTTTCATTTGCTTATCTCAGTTAAATTTACAAAATTCTAAACATTTATTAACATTTATTAACATTTATTTAACATTCTCTGTTCTGAATCCTTTAGATTAACATAAATTAACATATTCAATCATTTTGGACACTTACGGTAGCATTAATTTATGCTTAAGCATAAATATATGATAAGCTAAGACAAAGATCATAATTGCCTTAAAAATTTCTTTTTTAGATTATTCGTTATGATAATTAGATTGATTTCAAGAAAGGGAATGCAATATAGAACCCGCAGACTGCCATCATGATGCATCAAATAATCATACACAAAACAAACGTATAACATTGATTAAGAATTCATCCTTTCAAACTTTTTTAGAGTTGAATTAGACAATAAAGACAAATGTACTTATTCATTTAAATGCTGTAACATTTTCAAGGTTTTTCCTCATTTTGCTCATAACCACCAATGATGGCTAAACTGATAAGGGAAATTCTATTGCTCTGCAACTTTAAACTGTACAAGTACAATTAGATATCCCAGAATGGTACTGAATGCAGTGATCATACTTGACTTACTCAAAGCAAAAAATCCCATAGCTGTTATTTCGGTTTCTGAAATGATCTCAGACCAACCTATTTTAAAAAATAAACAAAATACATGCATTTCTTTAATATTTTAATAATTTTTATGATTGCACTTGACTTGCCTGAAGTGATTTCTAAAAATGCTGAAGTTTTAATATGCTTCAATTTAATGTACTTACGCCAGTTAAGCTGGTTCTGGATTGAACAGTCTATATATTGGTCCGCAGACAACCTGTTATTTATTTTTTTAAGTATTGGACAAATGTTAGTTTTATTTACTGATAATATACCTTAGAATATGTGCTGTTGATTGCAGCCAATCAAAGCAGCTTTGGCATGACAAAGACAAATTCCAAATTATCATAATTCCAGTCAAAATATTTCCAAAGTCTAACAAACGGATTCTGTAGGTTACCCAGTAGGTTGTGTAGGTAATTGATATTAGAAAGCTACAGAAAAGATTTAAAAGCACTGGTCCAAGACCTTTCTTCAGATTTCCATAGGATTCTATAATTAGTTTAGATTCATCCACTAAGTTTTGATTTTGTGTGGCATTAAATTTCATACATTTCTGAATAAAGCTACTCGTAAAGACATTTATCAGAAACATACTAGATGTCAAATGTATGGTGTAAAATCCTCCTATAATAAGACCAAAAAATAATTGCGATCCTGTCATCTCAACTAAATAATATGTATAGAAGATTGCATTTAACATTGTGCATAAGAATAATTCTAATTTTCTTGTTGGTAGTGTAAGATTGTCATTGGAACCAACTTGAGAGACCAAAAGTCCCATTCCTGAGGGAAGAACCCAGAAAGAGACCAATGTTAAGATATTGTCTGTCTGTGCAAAAACCTGATCAGATACATTATTAAATCCAGGATCTTCATTTATATCTTCAATCACAAGAACAAGATCTGAATAAAAGATGTATCCCCACACGGAAGAGGGAAGGAATGTCCAAATCAACCATCCAAAGAAAAACCTCCAGGATATGTACCTCAACTGGAAAACACCATCTTTAGTTGTGCTGACAGGAACAAGAAGGATTTTTATCATAATTCTTAGAATCTTTGATGCCAAGGAACACTCAAACCCCAGAGGCTGTTGGGATACTTGCGGTGCCATGGATATATTTATGGATACCACACCTGTTTCAAGCTTATTCATGAACTAATGTAGTAGCTCATATATTGAGTTAACTTGTGAAAAGGGGGGTTTAAAAATAGTTGAAAATGGCAATACAAATTTTTGGAAATATACATTAAAATATCTAAGTTTGCTTTGGTAACATTTGTTTAAAAAATATTTTATATGCTTTTTAATTTTTCCATTAGTAACAGAAATTTGTTTTTCTATCTCCCACCGCTGTTATTAATTAAAGTTAACACCATTGACAAACATTGGAAAAAGTATACCTCCCGCCCCTGTTATTCACATTAATAAACAAAATATTAGATAATTAATTCTGCAATCAATAATTTTCAATGCTGGGGGGGGGGGGACAAGCAAATGTACTTTTTTGGGAAAATATTTTTTTAAGAAATCGATTGGAAAATCAATAAGAATTTTATCAATGACTTATGAAACTGAAGCTAAAAATAATTCTTTTCTGTTTAGATGTATACATATTGTACACAGGACTACAAGAAAGTATAATTAGGTTGGTGTGGTAAAATCAAAGGATCAAAAGAAAATAGCATTACCACATTTAAAGTCAATCCAGTCTTCAAAATTGATTGATGGATTAATGTACCTTTAACCCACCCTAACTGACCCTTTTTCAATGAGCAGCATCATGAAAGATTAGACATTGTTAACAATCAATTTTCACTCATTTTATGTGAAAACTCAATGAACCTTTTAGAGATCAGCATTGTAATAATAATTTAAGATTCATACATAAATATATATATTCAGATATTTCCAACTGCTTTTACTCTTAGTCTTTACAGAATAAAAATCTATGATGAAAGAATAAAACCTGTATTTTCCGAGCTCTCCATTACTTGGCACTCTATTAGCTGTTAGGATTATTGCATCAAGAAGCTAAAATAGAATAAATTCACAGTTGAATATTTCAGTGTTTTAAGTACTAAGTAAGTACTAAGTAAGTATACCAGCAAGAAAGTAGATAGGAATCAATATATTGTTTTTAATCTTTGTGAAGAAACAATCTCAAGAACTGACGAGGGTCAACCCAGACCGAAAAATATTTTCAATAAATGTGGAAGTAACATCTACTTTTTTACTCTACAGAGGTTTGGTTCATCACCATCACCCAATTTTAAATATTTCAAAAGATTGTATAATAGCAACAAATTTTGTTTAGTAAATATGTTTTTAGAAGCTACATTAATTATAACCTCTTATAAATAAAAAATAATGAAAACATAAAAGTCTAGATCTTTAAAATCTTAAATGAATTTTCAGCATAATATTTTTTTTTACCCCAAAAAAACCTGTAACTTTTTCAAAAATTCGGAATGTGTATCTAAATTTAATTTTCAGAGACGGAAAAAGACTTGAAAGGAACCTGAACAAGTTGGAGAAGGTTTGGAGAACGTTTGGGGGATATACCATCTGTCCAGGTGATTTTGTCACTTCGCACAGAAGGTTGGCTAGACCCTCCTCCAGACATTAGTTGTCCATCCTGTTCATAGAAATATAAATTGAAGGGACTTGCGACAAAACTTCCATCATTGTTTTTGTAGCTGAAAATTAATTATTCTAAAGTGCGAGACTCTCTAGAAAATTATTTTTAAATGCTCCGAGACAATGAATTGAATTGTCAGACTTTAACACTTTTCAAGACCATATATTCCTCACTGTTACTCATATGGAGGTATTGTGAAGAATCGATTATGCAACATTATAAATGCACAGAGGCATATTCTGGAGGGGGGCTGTTGGCAACAGTTCCCCCTCCTGCATACGAGCTTGGGCTCGCCCCCCCCCCCCCACTTGGACCAGTGAAATATACGATTTTCAGGTCCCTACAGGTGCTGAAAAATTTAAGCCCCCTTCCTGAATATGAACCTGTAAAGTAATTGGAGGATCACTTAAAGTTACGTCACCATCTAATATTAAATTTTGAAAAAAACATTTATACAAATATAAATACACATATATAAATATAAATGTATAAAGAGCTTTATTATATAGATATTCCGATTGAGGTGAAGAATAAGATCAACTCCTTTTTGGTAATTTTAGATTTGAAAGAGAGAAAGTGGAAGAAAAGGGAAAATAAAAGGGGAAAGCCGAGTAAAAAATTAGGGAAAAACTTCAGAAAAAGTTGGGGAAAAGAAAGAATAAAAACTAAAAGCTTGAACCAGAACTTTAAGACTGTTAAGATTGTGTAAAGGTAGAAAGAGAAAGCTGTTAGATTATGCAAAGCTATAGAACCTGAAAGCTGTTTAGATTATGTAAAGCTAGAACCTGAACGCTGTTTAAATAATGTAAAGCTATAGAACCTGAAAGCTGTTTAGATTATGTAAAACTAGAACCTAAAAGCTGTCTGGATTATGTAAAGCTAGAACCTGAAAACTGTTTAGATTATGTAAAGCTAGAACCTAAAAGCTGTTTAGATTATGTAAAACAAGAACCTGAAAGCTCTTTAGATTATGTAAAGCTATAACCTGAAAGATGTTAAGATTATGTAAAGCTAGAACCTGAAAGCTGTTTAGATTATGTAAACCTATAACCTGAAAGATGTNCCCCCCCGCCGGCAAAGTCAAAAGAATACCTGTTTAAATGTTCCAATAATATTTTCACAGATCTACCAACATGTAATTTCATCCTGGGACTTAAGCCTCCTTTATCTTCTTCAATTCCTTCGAAAATTGTTTTTAATTCATTTTTGTCAACAGTATTTGTTTCACCAAGATAGGTATTTGTTACGCCAAGATCGGTTTCTGTATCACCACAATATGAATCACTAGTTCTATCGTCTGTATCTTCTATGAGAGCTTCCTGGAGTGAGGTGAGATTGATACTGGATTTGTTTTCAGTTTTATTATTCTCACGTATATTACTGTATTCTTCCATATATCTCTCAGCTACGTGACTTTTACCAAGATTAACTTCAAGAGTAAATATTGATCAATCTGCAGTTATGAAAACGATGAAAACTATCTCCAAGTCCGAAAAAATAATTGCAAAAATACGCAAAATTTCATGTTACTTGAATTGTTAGTAATTTTCCCTAACATGAGTAATTATTTGATTAATTAGTTTATTTTGCGTAGGTTAGCAGGGTTGCCAGGTTTGAAAAATTGAAAAGGAAGACAAGGCTAAATTCAGAATATTTTAAGTCTACTTTCAGTCCTCTCCAGGCTGCTTTTTTAAGCTTGAATTTATTTTGGTTGATTAATCTAATAAGTATTAGAAACTTGAGGTATGAGAAGCTGAAGCAAGGGCGGTTTACAATATTTCTGAATTGTTTTTAATGAAAGTTTTAAAGGGCATTTGATAATTTTTTTTGTAAAATCATGACCAGCTGGGGTTGGGAGGTGGAAAATGTGTTACCAAGATTTGGATTTGAATAAAATATCTTCATTGAGAGATAAAATATGCCGCCTTAGGCCAAAATTTTTTGAATTTGTTATAAAATTAAAATTAAATGGCTAGAAGGTGCCTTCTCTCTCTTCTTGCCTTTCTAATTTTCCAGGGGAAGGGACTCAAGGCACTTTTAGGCCAATAATTCTAAAAATAGGTGGCCATTTATGAAAAGTGACCTTCTAGAAGGCTGCTTGGTAACCCTGTATGTTAGTAGCTGTCGCAGAGGGCATTTGCCGCGGAGTTTTATAACTTTATTTATTTTATAAGTTTTTAGCAGACGAAACAAATCTTGTCTAGAATCTGAATAGATATTGCCAAAACAGGATAAAAGACATGTTCAAAAATCTACTTCAAATATGATTTTCATGATTTTGATTTCTTTAAATTTTACTTTACTTACCAATTCAGTATTATAAACTTTTTCAAAAATTGAATGGACGACGACTGAGTTTCACGAAGACGACATTTGAACTCTTTTTCACAGAAAAAAAACTTTGGTGTGATATCAATTGGACTATTTATAATGATCGATTGGACTAATGACCGATTTAACTAATGATCAATTGAACTAACGTTCAAAAGGACAAAAGTGCGTTTGAACTAATATTTGTTCAATTAAACTAATTTTTTAATAATTGTAAATTGTACCCCATATATATATATATGTATTTTTAAACACACAAAATATATTATTATTATTATTCAAATCTATTTATTGATCAAAAAGTACAGATCAAATAACAATAAACTTTATATATATATCAACGATATGTACATTTTGATTGTTCTTTGATTTTATTAAATGTGTAGACGAAAACAACAAAAAAATATATCGGTAAAGATTAATAAAATAAAAAACCGGTGCCAAAATAGCAACAATTTAAGAAGCAGCAATTTAAGAACTGGCAAAAACATAAAGGAAGTTTCAGGTAAGCATAATATTACGGATAGAGACAATTGCAGAGTGAGATGTTATTGAAGAACCAACAGCTTTGCAATATTGTTTCTTTTATAGAGTTAAAAACATTTGAAAGACAAAATATATGATGTAATCTTAAAATTTGAGGGTTAGGTTAGGTTACGACAATTTCTGGGGCGTGCGCTGCAGATATATGGCATCCTAAAGGGCTGAGAGCTGCAATCAGGGCAGCTGCTAGGGGACTGTCAGGGTATAGACAAGAATAGACAAGATTATAGACAAAAAAAAGACAAGGATATACAAGGGTATAGATATAAGGATAGACAAGGATATAGATATAAATATAGACAAGGACATAGAAGGATAGTAAAGGATTTACTTACGAATAGACAAGGATAGACAAGGATATGCAAGGAAAGACAAGGTTAGACAAGAATAGACAAAGAAAGACAAGAATAGACAAGGATATACAAGGATAGACAAGAATAGACAATGATATAAGGATAGACAATGATATAAGGATAGACAAGGATAGAAAAGGATATACAAGGATAGAAAAGGATAAACAAAGAAAAGGATATACAAGAATAGAAAAGGATAGACAAGGATAGACAAGGATAGACAAGGATAGACAGGGATAGACAAGGATATACATGGATAGGCAAGTATTCAAGGATAGACAAGAATAGACAAGGATAGACTGGGATAGACAGGGATATAAAAGGACAGACAAGGATAGACAAGAATATACAAGGATAGACAAGGATATACAAGGATAGAAATGGATAGACAAGGATATACAAGGATAGAAAAGGATAGACAAGGACATACAAGGATAGACAAGGATAGACAAGGATAGACAGGGATAGACAAGGATATACATGGAAAGACTAGAATGGTAAAGTTTGCTTTATATATATTATATCAAGTATACCCTGTTTAGTGTATATGAAGGAAGCAAGGATTGAATGTCCGAAATCACTATAATTTCCTTCTTTTTCTTAACTTCCCGCTAAGAAGACGTATAAAATACTGTTTAAAGGGTGAAACAAAGTATTATTATTTTTTCACACAAATATAACAATTTTACATTGAGAAAATAAAACAATTTTTAAAGAAATTTTTTATCATTACATCTGACTATTAGGTCAAAATTCTTAGAGGAGAAAACCTAAATTGCTGTGCAGTGGTTAGGTTTAGGGGGGGAGGAGGGTTAGAGAGAGGTATTTTAGGTTAATGGAAACATCGTTTGGAAGTCTGAACATATCATAAAGAGCAGTTCATAAAAGGTATGGATAGAAAAATCTTGGTTCAGAAAAGGAGGAAATGAAAATTGATTGTTTGAGAAGAGGATGTGTGGAAGACAAGGGGAATGAATATTGAATATTGTATTGGGGATGAAAAGGATGAATAGGGGATGAAAAGAATGAATAAAGGATGAAAAGAATGAATAGGGGATGTAAAGAATGAATAGGGGATGAAAAGAATGAATAGGGGATGAAAATCATGAATAGGGGATGTAAAGAATGAATAAGGGATTTAAAGAATGAATAGGGGATGAAAAGAATGAATAGGGGATGGAAAGAATGAATAGGGAATGAAAGAATAAGTAGGGGATGTAAAGAATGAATAGGGGATGAAAAGAATGAATAGGGGATGAAAAGAATGAATAGGGGATGTAAAGAATGAATAGGGATGAACAAAATTGAATAGGGGATGAAAAAAATGAATAGGGAATGACAAGAATAAATAGGGGATGTAAAGAACGAATAGGGAATGAAAAGAATGAATAGGAGATGAAAATAATGAATAGAGGATGAAAAGAATGAATAGGGGATGAAAAGAATGAATAGAAGATGAAAAGAATGAATAGGGGATGTAAAGAATGAATAGGGGATGAAAAGAATGAATAGAAGATGAAAAGAATGAATAGGGGATGTAAAGAATGAATAGGAGATGAAAAGAATGAATAGGGGATGAAAATAATGAATAGAGGATGAAAAGAATGAATAGAAGATAAAAAGAATGAATAGGGGATGAAAAGAATTAATAGGGAATGCAAAGAATGAATAGAGGTTGAAAAGAATGAATAAGGGATGAAAAGAATGAATAGGGGATGTAAAGAATAAATAGGGGAAAAGAGTAATTAATTGGGGATGAGGAGAGGATGAGGAGAGGATTGGGGATGAGGAATTAATAAATAGGGGATTAGGGGGGAATGGATAGGGGACGAGGATAATGAATATGGATGAGGAGAGAATAAATAGGGGATTAGAAGGGAATAGATAGGGGATGAGGAGGTAATAAATACGGGATGAGGAGGTAATAAATAGGGGATGAGGAGGTAATAAATAGGGGATGAGGAGGTAATAAATAGGGGATGAGGAGGGAATGAATAGGGGATGAGGAGGGAATGACTAGGGGATGAGGAAATAATAAATAGGGGATGAGGAGGTAATAAATAGGGGATGAGGAGGGAATGAATAGGGGATGAGGAGGGAATGAATAGGGGATGAGGAGGGAATGAATAGGGGATGAGGAGGAATGAATATTGAATATTGCATAGGGAATGAAAAGATTTAATAAGGGATGAAAATATTGAATAAGGGATGAAAAGAATGAATAGGGGATGTAAAAAATGAATAGGGGATGAAAAGAATGAATAGGAGATGAAAAGAATGAAAAGGGGATGAAAAGAATGGATAGGGGATGATGAAGGGAATAAATAGGAAATGAGGAGGGAATGGATAGTGGATGAGAATAATGAATAGGGGATGAGGAGAAAATGGATAGGGGATGAGGCGAATGAATACGGGATGAGGAGGGAATTGATAGGGGATGAGGATAGAATGGATAGGGGATGAAGAGAATGGATAGGAAATGAGGATAGAATGGATAGGTGATGAAGAGAATGATTAGGGGATGAGGATAGAATGAATAGGGGATGAGGATAGAATGGATAGGTGCTGACGAGAATGGTTAGGGAATGATGATAGAATGGATAGGTGCTGAAGAGAATGAATAGGGGATGAGGATAGAATGGATAGGTGCTGAAGAGAATGGATAGGAAATGAGGATAGAATGGATAGGTGATGAAGAGAATGAATAGGGGATGAGGATAGAATGGATAGGGGATGAGGATTGAATGTATAGGTGCTGAAGAGAATGAATAGGGGATGAGGATAGAATGGATAAGGGATGAGGATAGAATGGATAGGT